CCCCCCCCGGTCAGTTAATGACTATAATGGGGACCCAGTTTACAAAACCTCCCTCTTTCTGAGGCCTATTTTGTGCTTCAGCCTCTGGTTTTATTCTGTTTCTCTGTTTCAGTATGAAATTGAGTTTGCGGGAATCTTCAATGAGTAAGCAGTTCTTAAGGTTGTCAAGAGTTCTGTGTATATTACACCTTGTTAGGAAAAAGGCTCAGCCCAAATTTGAGAAGAATTTTGGACATTTAAAGATCAAAAGGTGGCTTCTATTTCCAATAAACTAGATAAGCAAATTCCTGTCTGAGGAGTAGCTGCTCTTGCTGTTTTTGTAATAACATTGAAGACAAGTTTTGAGAGCTTGAAATGTTTCTAATGTGTCTTCTAATAAATTTCTTTATTTTCTTCATTTTCAAATACCCATACTTAGTTGGTCAGTTTTCATCAGTAGCTGACATCTTTGTTGAATTCTTATTAGGAAAAGTGAATATTTTAATTCACATAAACATGAGAATTTTGCCTGGCACATTGTAAACCTTCTCCGTATAAATGTTAATTTTTACTATTAGTCTGAGTACTTTAATCTTAGTGAGAGTTATTATTATAGATTGTATTATTGTTTAAAATATGCACTGCCATTCCCTGTTGCAGGATTATGTATCTCTTATCATTGACCAAGTTATTTGCATTAGCCAGTGATATGTCAGTGGAAATGATAAACCTTGTCAAACAGAAGCTTTATGAACTGTCCCATATTTTGCCATGTTCGTTTTCTCTCTGGTATCAGATGGACATATTCCAGGTGGGAACCTGCTCTTTTAGCCCAAATCCTGGAATGAAGACAACCTGATGCAAAGCAGAGAATCTCATTCTTGCTAAAATGCAAATTGAGTGAGAAATAAACCTTTGTTGTAAACCACAAAAATGTTGGGATTGTTGGTTACTTCAGCATAACACTTACTCTGTTTTATACATACATTTGCAAGTGAGTAGCTTTTAGCATATGGACTGATAGTAATGAAGTCCCTGGCTTTTCAAGGGCAAGAACAAATTTTTATTTTTGTTCTTGGGAAGGACAAAAAGGGGGGAGGAATTTAGCAGGTAAATGCTTATCAGATGAGTAAATGCATATTTAGAGATGAGTGATAGGAAGAGCAAGAAGCCATAGGTAGTACTTCTATTATTACCCTTAGTAGTGAAAGCCAAATAGGCACTGACTTACGTAAATGTGAATATAAAATATCTACAACCTGTATTCTTTCTAATTATTTGCAGTGGTCTGAGTTTAGTATATTCACCAAGAACTTTGTTAACTTCCAGATTGAAGTTGTTTTGGGAATAGGGTTTGTACTTGTACACTTTCACAAGTGTCCTGACATCTCTTTTGTATTCAAGTTTTGTTTTGTTTTTTTCTTTGTTTGTTTTTTGAGACAGAGCCTCAAGCATCACAGCTCACAACAACCTCCAACTCCCGGGCTCAAGGGATTCTCTTGCCTCTGCCTCCCATGTAGCTGGGATTACAGGCACCTGCCACCTGGCTATTTTTTGGTTGCAGCTGTCATTGTTGTTTGGCGGGCCCGGGCTGGATTCGAACCCACCAGCTCAGGTGTATGTGGCTGGTGCTGAGCTGCTTGAGCCGCAGGCGCCAAGCCTGTATTCAAGTTTTAAAAAGCAAGAGGTGGAGATGAATTTTTTTGGGAAAGGGTGCTTATTAAGACATGAGAGGTTTTTTTTGAATAATAGTAACTTTACCTGAAGTTTTTAAAAGTTAATAGTACATGTGGCTTAATGGAGCAAACTAGAACAACTAGGTTCTGGTGTAATACCTCCTAAAAGAGGTCTATTTAAGGGTGAAGTAAATACAGAAAAAGCTTCTAAAATGCAGTAGAATCTCTGTAAGTTGACCAACCAAGGGACTATAACTGGTCAACATATGGAGATGGTTAACACAAGGGACTTCCATTAAGTACATGTGGTGCATGCCTGGTTTATGAAAATTAGGTCAACTTAAGGAGGGGGTATAAGGAGATGGTCAACTGGGAAGGTGCTACTGTATATTTCTTGTTAGGAGTTGAGGATTGTTTTTGTGGTTCTGAATACATATTAACAGCAGCTAGCATTTATTTTTAGCTTACTGTGTATTAGCCACTGTGCCAAGCATTTCACTTACATTATCTCATGTGTTTCCAAGTAATCCAGTGAACTCAGTTATTTTTATTTTCATTTCTTAGGTGAAGAGGCGGATACAGAAGGGAAATTTCTTAAATTTACATTACAAGGAAATGCAGTCATCCCTCAGTATCCGTGGGGAATTGGTTTCAGGACTCCCTTGGATACCAAAATCCACATATGCTCAAGACCCTGATACAAAATGGTGTAGTATTGGGCGGTGCCTGTGGCTCAAAGGAGTAGGGCACTGGCCCCATATACCAGAGGTGGCGGGTTCAAACTTAGCCCTGGCCCAAAACTGCAAAATAAAATAAAATAAAATGGTGTATTATTTATGTGTATCTTTTGTGTACTTTTAAATTATGTCTAGATTACTTATGCCTAATACAATGTAAATAGCTTTCTAAATAGTTACACTTCAGGGTGTTCCAAAAGTTGCCCCTAAAGTTGCCATACATAGGGAAAATGGGAAATTGTGTCTGCATGTACCTTTATTTATAAAATATTTGTTACAAAATTGTATAA